GAATCCGGATGATGTTGTAGGCCAGGGCAAAGTTTTTTCCAAAGCAGTTCCCAATGTTGTAAACAGTCCCATCATTCTCAATGTGGGGATGAGCCGTTACCCCGTTAATGGACACATATTTACAGAGATCCACCTGGAGAACAAAATGGAGACAATCAGGAGCTTCCCTGGCAGGAGATGGGGAGTCACTGGCTCTGCAACTTGTCATGAGTCAACACATTCTTGCATTGGATGTGAGAAGTTCTTTTCTAAGGCTGCAACTGAGCTCCAATTTGCAAACTCCAGCCAAGCACGAACATGGAGCTGGAGCTCCAAGGGCTGGAGCTTTTCTGCTCTGGAGACAGGCTGGGAGAGCTGGGGGTGTTCACTTGGAGAAGAGAAGGCTCCAGGGAGATCTTAGAGCCCCTTCCAGTGCCTAAAGGGGCTCCAGGAGAGCTGGAGAGGGACTTTGGACAAGGATCTGGAGGGACAGGACAAGGAGGAATGGCTTCCCACTGCCAGAGGGCAGGGTCAGATGGGATATTGGGAAGGAATTCTTGGCTGTGAGGGTGGTGAGGCCCTGGCCCAGGTTTCCCAGAGAAGCTGTGGCTGCCCCATCCCTGGAAGTGTCCAAGACCAGGTAGGATGGGGCTTGGAGCAACCTGGGCTAGTGGAAGGTGTCCCTGCCCATGGCAGGGGGTTGAATGAGGTGAGCTTTAAGGTCCCTTTCAACGCAAACCAGTATGTGATTACCTGATTTTCATTTTAAATTTACTGCTCCATAACTTTTTCAGCCCAGGACAAAGACCCACCTGCTTAATTGTCTCTAAGGTGTCTGGGTTAATCCTGGTTATGAAGTTGGTCTCAGTGCAGGCATAGTAATCCTCACCCACAGGGTAGACATTAACCAGGGCATTGTCCGTGACCTCCACACCTTTGAAGTAGGAGAAGAACCTGAGCAGAGAGAATGGACAGGCAGTCAGGGCCTCTGGGAAGCAGGAGCTCTGTGGGACATGGCAGCAGTGGCTGCAGGACCCCAGTACCTGGAGAAGATGTTCTTGCAGGGGTCTGGGTACGCGTAGGTGCCAAACTCCGTTATGACAATCCTTTTCTCTGTCATTGCTCGCACATAACAGTCAGTCCTGATAAACCTGGGAGGGTGAGGAGGAGAAATCCCCTTACACATAAAACCACAACAGGCTGTGCAGTTAAATATGAATAAATACAAATAAATATGAATATTTCTGTGATAAAGCTCATGAGAGCCCCGGGTCCCCACAGCCTCATGTTTCATCTGGAGCTGGTTTAATGATATCACTGATACAGCTCTTCCAATAATCCCATGGACTAAAAATAACCGGTGCCTTCCAGAGCCTGTCCCCAGCACTCACAGTCAAGCAACTGCTTCCTGATTTATTCGTTTCTTGGAAAACCACCACGTACCTTCTGTGGTAGGTGACGTGCCCCTCCTTGAAGTCAAACTTGTGGAGCAATGCCTGGCCATCGAAGAGGTGGTAATAGGGCTCTGAGCCCACCTCGAACAAGCCAGGACCACACCTCAGGAGGCTTCCTCGCAGCCAGGTGGGAATCCTGCCTGCGGGAGAGGCAGTGTTGGGATGCACACGGCAAATCAGACCAAGGAATTTTTATGGTGACAACAAAAAGAACAAAACTTTGAATTAATTTTTTTAAGGCTTATGCAACTTCTTATTTAAACACACATGAGGTCTTGAAACTGTTTTCTTCCCCTCCACACCTGCTGTAGACCAAGACATTTAGTACTGAAATATCTAAAGGTTCTCCCATCCAATCTGTCCTTCCTCCACCCCAAATCCCTAGCCCTGTGAGGTCCTTTACTTCCAGCCCTTGTAAAGTCTCCGAGCCCTGGAGGCCCCTGAGCTCTGAGAACAAAGCCAGGCAGGAGGAGATCAGGGACCAGACCAACCTGTGACGTGGGTGGTCACTGGAGAGGACAGTTCCTCCACCGTCTCAAAGAGCTTCTTGTAGCCCCCGGCTGGATGCTCCACTCTGGAAGGGCAAAGCTGGGTTAGCCCGAGGTGGGCAGTGCTGGGAACCCCCTGCCAGGGAGGGGCAGTTCTTCTGGACACACTGAGCCATGACTTGTAAAGAACTTGAGACATCAGGAGGGAAGAGCACTAGAACTGCATGGGGGGAAAGGCTGAGTGTGTGGAGGGAGAGGGAACACTGAGGGGAAAGCCCACACCACAGCCACTCCCATCCACTGATAAATCCAGGATAGTCCAGATCATTAGGAAGCAGAATCCAGCTTTTATCTCCCAGGTCTTGGAGAAGCATTTTTTTTGCCTTTTTTCTTTCTTTTTCTTTAAGCAAAGAATTAATTGTTGGGTTCAAATTTTATCACTGCAAAGCCCATGAAGACACAGCAGACAGACCAGTGTGCTCTGCCCAGAGCAGCTGTGGCTGCCCCATCCCTGGAAGTGTCCAAGGCCAGGTGGAACAGGGCTTGGAGCAACCTGGTCTAGGGGAAAGGGAGTGGAACGAGATGGGATTTAAAGTCCCTTCCAACCCAGAACCACACCTTGGAATGGGAAGTACCAGCATTCACACTGACACATGGAGACCGTCCCCCTCCTCCTCCTGCCCCTGAACCACACTGACCCCCGACCTCACAGCTGCCCCAGCCAATGCTCCATCAACATGATCCATGATCCTCTCCCATAGAGAGGAGCTTCAGGAATACTCACTGGCTGTACATCCTCTCCCCGATGAAGGGCCTGAGCCTCCAGCAGCCAAGCTCAGAGCAGAGCCTTGTGCAGGGTATTTATGGGGTGCTGAGCCCTGCCCAGGGAAGCCCCTGCCAGTGAGAGCCCCCTGGGAACAGAGCCGGCTTTCACCACCCAAATCCTCCCGGGTTTGGGAGCTTTTGTCCTGCCCTCCACACAAAAAAGGGCTTTGACTGCTTTTGTGAGACCTAAATTCTTCCCAAGCAGAAGTGATTACAAAGAAAAAAATCCCAAGGAGTGAAACGGAGCGTGCTGGAGCCATGCCAGGCGTTGGCACTGGCACTGGGCCCTGCTCTGGCACCACAGGGCACAGGAGACCTGCCTGGATCCAACATGGACCCAGGGCAGCACGGAACGGCTCTTCCAGAGTCTCCCCTTGGAGTGACAGGACATAGAGACATCCAGAGACAAGGAAATGCCAGTGTCAAACATCCTGGAATATCCTGAGTTGGAAGGGTCCCACAAGGATCATTGAGTCCAATCTCTGGACCTGCCCAGGACACCCCAACAATCCCCCCCGTCCCTGAGAGCGTTGTTCAAACGCTGCTTGAGCTCTGGCAGCCTTGGGGCCGTGATCACTGCCCTGGGGAGCCTGTTCAGTGCCCGACCACGCTCTGCAGGAAGAACCTTTTTGTGATATCCAAACTGTATATCCCCTGGCATAGCTCCAGCCATTCCCTGGTCCTGTCTCTGGTCACCAGAGCAGAGATCGGAGCTGCCCCTCAGGAGGAGCTGCAAACCCCAAGGTCTCTCTCAGACTCCTTCTCCAGGCTCGTCATCAGGAACCACCTGTAGCAAGAGTCAACATTTATGAAAACAATAGTGCTGTAAAGAGTGATTTCAAAGATTAATGAAATCAGAGAGTTTAGTGCTGCCCCCTCACAGGCAGCTCATGGCAGAGGATGAAGATGTTCCATAATACCATGTACATTTGGGTGCTCCTCCCATATAGATGGAAACAGTGATCAAAGCTGGGGTGAAAGGAGAAAAATAGACTTTAAACATCCCTCTGTTTGATCTGCTGCCACAACCATCACGTGAAGCTTGGCTTCCTTCCCTGGTTTTGTTTGTTTGCTCCCTCTTTTCAAGGCAGTGTTCCCATTTGGATTGAGGGTTCATTTAAGGCTTCTCACTGAAGGCACTGAGCCTTCAGGAGCTGTGACTGAGGCCTCCCATTAACTCTTTGGATTAATAACCATAATTATAGGGTAATTTCTCAGTGGAAGTCTCCTGGCAATAAATAATATAAACTTGAGTGCAAACTCAAGGCCTCTCAGCATTGCAAGTCATGTGGAGACTTTTAATTAATTCCAGGACTCAAAACAGCATCTTAATGTTTGATGTCATGAAAATTCCATGTTTCCATGGTGACAGCATCTTCCCAGGCCCCATCCTTCTCCAGGCAGAGATCCCAAAACATCTCTGGTCCCACACACCAGCAGCCAAGTTTTCCTCCTGAATCTTACCTGACCAGGCAACTCTTCTGGTGTGACATCGACACCAGAACAGCACAGGACAGCAGATAACCTACAAACTCATTACAGAACTGTTCTTCCTTGCAATTAATACCATTAGAAAGGAGTTACTGGTGCTAATTAGCAAAAAATGTGCTCTGAGGCACAAGCACCAGCAACTCCGCCTGCTTTTCTCTGCAGGAAAAGGAGGGAACAGTTATTGACCTCTGTCCATTTCAAGTGGATTAAAATACTCAAAGGCTGTAAAAAGGAAGGTGTGAGTAGCCTTAAGTTCCATATATGGAATTTTTGTCATTGATTTGTAATGTTTTATTGTCCCACAGTGAGTCAATTTGTCCATTTATTCCCATTTTTGTTAAGCTCTGTCAAAAACTTAGAAGGGAACATTAAATAACCTGGATCAAGAACTGGGAAAAATGAGGGCAGGCCTTTAAAAGCCAAATCCTGCAAAATGTGAGCTGCTCACCTAATCAGTTACTTAACTGGAACACATAAACAAAGCATTTACACAACAGGGAACAGGTTGGGAAGTGTTGGAATCAAGTTCAGGCAGGTACTGGAGTGTTAAAAGGAGTTGACTGCAGGTGTTACAAGGGGGAAACATCTTGCACCTGCCCTGCAAGTGGAAAGTTATCTACAGGACATTGAAGTGTCATTAAAATAGGTTAAATGGGGCTAATTTGGATTTCTCACTTACAAAACCTTCAAAAAAAGAGCAAAAGGATATATTTTGGGAGAAAACTGAAGCCCAGCCTCATGGTCACAGATGTAAAAGTGTACCCACTTGCTGTATCATCCATCACTCCTATCATTTTGAGAATCACACCAATAGATCCAAAATAAATTTTCCATGAAAATGTCAGAAATATACTTAAAGACTTTTAATATAAATAAATATAGAAAAGTTAATGAGAGTTTTACAGATGAGATAAACACAAGCATTTTAGGGAGGCAGATAATAATTCATGGTGATCTTTTGGCTCTCCTGGTCCTGAACTCACAGAACTTCTTTTGTTTAAAGACAAATATTTTGAGAATAGAGAAGGCACTTAGTCACAATACACAGACATTAAAACCTACACAAACTACAATAAATGGCACAAATTCCTGACCAGACATTAAAAGGTTACAAGAGGCAGGTCATTAGTTTCCCATAGAAAACCATATATGAATTTTTGGTTAACAACAGCTTTGTGCTTATTTTCACATTTTCCTACATACATTATATTGTAATAATTTGTAAACAGATAAATATTTCTCTCTTAGAAGTTATTCAAAAGTATCTGCATAAAAAAAGGGTATTTTGGCACATTTCAGCACCTTATCCATGTAAACATTTCTTCCTTCTACACAGATCCAGCATCAAATTCCTGCAGCAACTCCTCTGGTGAATCATTCAGACTCACATCCAGGAAATAAATGCCTCAAGTGTGGTGACATTAATACCTCAGGCTCCGAAACCTGGGTTTCCTCAGGCTGAGCATGGGCTGCTTGATGGTGGGTTTGTTCTCCAGCAGCATCGCTTCGCTCTCCGTCGTTGGAAACCTGCTCTGGTAGATCTGGGGGTATTCCCTCTGGAACTGAGCATACACAAGCAGCAATCACAATAAAATCCCACACTCCACCAGAGAACTCCAGCTAAAAAAAGTCTGTTTTACCCAACTGGGAGCCAAGATTCACCTGCTCTGGAGCAGTTCTCCCAGAAAACCTTACTTACGACTCTGATTCCATCTCATTTCAATTCCTGCAGATACACAGCTAAAGGAAAATACCTGGAATCAGAGGCATATTTGTGACATTTGGCCGTTCCCTGTGTCAGGCCTTGGGAAGAGATGACTAACTGTAAATAACCTATACAGTAAATACAACTGAACATCAGCCAAACCTTTCCACTGCTGGATTCAACCTACCCCAAGTACCCAAAGCTGAACAATCACTGCAAAAGTTGTGACTTATCACACCATGGCTATCCCAGCTCAAATGGCAGGACTCTAATGATATGGTTCTGTGAAATTTAAAAGTCAGCTTTGCTCACTTGTGGCTCTCACAGTACAATCTGCTTTTGGACTTTGTGAGAATTCATCAAAAATTTAAGTATGTACTTTAAGTTTTACTATTAAAAGATTTTAGTTTATTTCCTTCCTCCTCTTTCACCTGTTGCTGTGAATCACATCTTAGCGCTCACTTATTCCAAGTTTTAATCAACTCTAATTAACTCTTTTTTACAGGCAGGAAGTTTTAATGATCTTGAACCAAAGTCCAGCCTCACTTTTACAGTCCAAGAAAGTTTCTACAACACACATGAAACTCAGTGTGGCAGGAGCTGGAGGAGGGGCACCAAAGAGTTCCTGCTCTGAAAAGCTGCTTGTTCAAATTTGAGTCACAAGATTTGCTTAGGAGATTCCAGGACAAGTACAAAGCTACTCCATTGGGCAGAAGAACTTGCCAAAGGTTTTTCCGCAAAAGAAAAACCCCTCCAGGATTAAATCCTGCCAGAACTGCTGTGTTTTAGCTTTAGTATTAGGCAAGATATTAGTAGGCCAGAGAAGTGCAAGATAATCTTGAGGCATATAAACGTTACAAAACACAAAGCCAAGGCCACAAAAAGAACGATTCAGGATTGTGAACAGATAAGAGGTTGGTCTCCTAAAGCAAAAAATTATTGCTTTTAACACCTATTGGTTTTAAGCCCACTTATGGCATGTTAATGGTGACTTGTTGGCCAGTGCACCACAGGAAACCAGGCTAATTCCATAAGGTATTATTTAATGGAGAGCAGGATCTCAGAGTAACTTCATACTGGTTTTAAGCCATTATTTAAGCCAGTGTCAAATGCTGTATGTTATCATGGAAGGTTTGGGTTGGGAAGGACCTTAAAGCTGACCTTGTTCCACCCTCTGCCACAGAGAGGGACACCTTCCACTAGCCCAGGTTGCTCCAAGCCCCATCCAACCTGGCCTTGGACACTTTCCAGGATGGGGCAGCCACAGCTGCTCTGGCAACCTGTGCCAGGGCCTCACCACCCTCACAGGGAAGAATTCCTTCCCAATTTCCCATCTATCCCTGTCCTCTGGTAGTGGGAAGCCATTCCTCCCAGTATCAGACACTGTCTTTAAAATCCCAACCAGAGCACACAAAACATCCAACAGCTCTTCTGAGCAAGTATTTCTCACCAAACACTCTCTTCCCCCCCTCTTCTGCACCAGGCTCTGTTGACTGAGCCCTTCCCTCACAAAGGCATTTCAGAAGCAGGTGAAAGTTCCTCACCTGCTTTAACTTTTTCTTTTTGTCCTTCACAGACAAGTTTTTATCCTTGATAATGTTCTCCAAGAGCTCTGCCACTGCAGCTTGAGAGGTAGAAACCTTTTGTTCCTCGAACTCCTGAGGAGTGATTTGTTTGCAGTAGGAATACGTTGGCAATATGGCACAAATTTCTTCCTTGGGACATTTGCACTGGAAGAAAAAGAGGTCTGTAAATACTCAACTGATTCTGTACTATTTCAGTAAGAACTCACAAACATCCACACCCACTAACTTACAGTGGCATCACAGCTGCAAAACATTATAATTAATATCTATACCCTGAAACTATACTGGTTTTATTTGCATTTTCCCATCCCACCTTCAGAACAATTAACAAATGAATTTAAACTCCCCTAGTACCACCAACCTGAGCCACCCTCGCGTATTCAAGGTGGTCTCGCACAGCGACCTGCAGGTGAGTTGGGACCTGGAATATTTCCTGCTGATGGTCCATCAGAAATGAAACCAGTCGTGTAGAAAGCAGCTCATCCAGGTCCACTTCCTCTGCACAGCGCAGCACGCAGCGGGAAAATGTCTGGATCAGCTGGGAGAGTCCAGTACACCAGTAAGTACACACAGTTGTGGATTTATTTGCCTTCTCTCCACTCTACACAGTGGCACAATAAATTATTCACACCAATTTTCACTGCAATTTTTCTTGCCTGCACCACTGGTCAAGCAAGGAAGGAAACTGATTTTAGGGTTTTTTAAAGTAACTTCTTATAACCTAAGACTTCTACTTTTCTTGAACTGAACAGCACCTTCAATTAAGAAATACACATTATAAAGAACCTATAGAATCACAGAATAGAATCACAGACTGGTTTGGGTTGGGAGGGACCTTAAAGCCCATCCAGTTCCACCCCCTGCCATGACCAGGGACACCTTTCACTATCCCAGGTTGCTCCACGCCCCATCCAACCTGGCCTTGGACACTTCCAAGGATGGGGCAGCCACAGCTCCTCTTCAATGTTATAATTCTAAATGGCACTCAGGTGAGAAATCAGACTAAAGTATTCTTTTAAGAAGTGATTTCTCTTCTCCCCCCAACATAAACAAAAGCAATGTGAATATTTGAAGTCTCTTAGGATGGAGACAAGGAAGTGCTTGTTCAAGTCAGATTTTTGTGCATATTCTGGAGGTGAAAAATCTGCCTGTTAATACTTGCAGCATGCTGAACTTGAGGTTCTTGTCCCACTGCTTTAAACAGTGATTCTGAGCATAACTTCAGCGATACTCTTACAATAACAGGCATACTGCTCTTGTGGCTCTCTTACCAAGGACCTGTTGCCCATGGCATTGTGCAGCCGTGGCATGTCAACATTCCCACTGATCCGGGTGATCATCCGCATCAGGAGCTGGAGCCTCCTACGGTTTGGGGGTGGGAGCAGCAAACAGCAGATCTGCAGAGCTTCCACAGCAATCCTTTCCAAGTGAGGCTGCAGGAGATCTGCAAGTCAATTGCAAAGACAGCTGGCATTAAGATTTGAATCAACTCTCAGTGTATTTTTTACAACAGTACCAGAAATCTCTTATTTTACCAAGGTGATTATCAGTGTTTCAGAGAAATCTGCTGTAACGCAGTAGATAAGGTAAGGACCTTTGTTGGTGGGGTCATCTTCAACTTGCTTCATTAGGAGAAATTGCTGGGGCAATAAAGATCGTAATACAATTAAAGAATGACACTAATGTTATTCCCAGAAAATGTTATTCAAAGACCATAAAAATACATCATCTCCAACAAACAGGTCTGTGCTAATTCTCATTCTCAGTGTCTGGGGCGGGATCTCTTATCACTTACCTGAGCAGAAAGGTCAGTTACCGACACGTCAATTCTTACTCAAAAGACACTACATGTTACTATTTGTTAGCAGAGCTACAGCAATTTAAAAAATGCTATTCAGCAACCAGATTTTTTTAAAAAAACCTCACAAATCCACGTTCTATGCATTTCAACAAACCTAGCAACAGTGCCAGAGGTGGAGGAAGCAGAGATTAGTCAGGCCATACAACAAGCAGTACAACATGCTGTAGAAAGCCATCTTACTTTGCGTGCCAGTCAACACACAAGGGGAGGGGGTGAAAGAGCTTTCTGAGAGTTCTGTGCTGCTTCTGCAGAGTCTCTTTTTGATGGTGATTTCGGAATCCTCAGTCCTGATGTCCACTGAAGCAGCCACCCCAGGGGGATTTGGTTTTCCTTGCCCCCAGACCTGAGCCCTTGGCATTACTGTGATTTCAGCAACTGGTCTGTTAATGACTGTGCAGCTTCTGCAGTTCCTCCTGCCCAGTGAACTCAGAGAGTGGCGCATCTGCTTCCACCCGTGAGTGTCATCCAACAGCTCGTCCTGAAGAGCTGAGGCAGACACTCTCTTGACGCCCTGGGTTTGTGTTTGACAGATGTTATCACAGCCCACCTCCAACACAGATTTAGCTTTGTGCTCACACAGCAGTGACTGGTCTCCATTTCTTGTGATAGTGTTCACACCACCTTCCCTGAGGGAATCACATCCTCCTTTACTACACACACTTGAAGGAGGAGCTCCGATTCTTTCCAAGGAGTAACATCTTGTCTTAAATGCTCCAGGTGGAGCTTGTTTGTTCCTGAAACCTGAAAGATTCTGACAGCTTCCTCCTATCGGATTACCAGCACTACCTTGCTGATGTCTCAGTTTATATTGCTGCCATTTCTTTGTATGTTGGTTTTGGACAGTCAGCTCTTCTGAAGAAAACCTCCTGGAAGCTTCATCTTTCTTTTTCTTGTCAGGCTCTTTGTGGATCAGACTTAGGAGAAGACACTCAGTTGACTTGAAAGAGTTCAAGCGAAGAGTTTTTGAAGGCTGTGGGTCACATTTCTCATCTTGGACAGAACGTTTTCCACTGCACAGATCTGGAATTGTGATGTAGCCACACATAACTATCAGAAAATGAAATAGAAGTTAAGATGCAAGTGGTATGAAAATGGACCAGCTCTGAAAGCTGCTACCTGAGCAGAGAAGACAACCAAGGGAAGATATTAATTTATAGTTGACTGTTAGTAAAACCTAAGAAGAATTTAGCTCAGTCCAAAAGCAATTTAACAAGATAACTGCAACCAACATGCAAGAATAAAAAAGGTAACGCACTGCAGTAGTGAGGACAGACAGAATGAGCTGTATTTTTAAGTTACTGAATATTTAGAATGTGTGCTCAGACAGCAATTTAAATAGAAATCACAACACAGAACTACATTTCAATTAATACTGTAATAGAGTGAGAACAGTGATGATCCTCCTCAGATTCAAGCTGCCACACAGATTAGGGACCAAGGTCTGCTTTGATTTACAGATTTGTTCCCCAGCTGATATGAACTTACAGTTTTACTGATCCTTTCTAAATTCATACTTACCTAAAATATTAACAAAAAGTTCATAGTATTCAAAAGTAAGTAATGGCTCAGGGAGACTGAGAAAATAATCAGCAACTGTTCTGAACACGTCCCGTTCAAACCCACTGTAAGTTGCTTGGCTCATGTCATTGTTTCTGGGCCCTGAAAAGAGGTGAAGAAAGAAAATGCACACAAAAAATTTCACAACTGCATTATAAAACAAAAATAATGAATATTTACTTTCAACACTCAAAATAGGTTTCTGTAACTTAAAAGCTCTTCAGTGACTTACAGTATGCGAGGCACTTCATAGCTGACAGCACCCAGTGAGGGAGGTCTTCTAAAATATAAACAAACAATGACATTATTTGTACATAAGCCCAAAGATTTAATGACTAATACAAAAAATGGCACACATATTAAATAACACTTCAATTACAAAATACCAGATTTAAAATTAATTTTAAATATTGCTACACATGTAATTTTGACAGGATAAGGGGGAATGGCTTTCAGTTGAAGGAAGGCAGGTTTAGATTAGATATTTGGGAGAAATTCTTGGCTGTGAGGGCAGTGAGGCCCTGGCACAGGTTGCCCAGAGAAGCTGTGGCTGCCCCATCCCTGGAAGCATCGAAGGCCAGGTTGGACAGGGCTTGGAGCAACTTGGGATAGTGGAAAGTGTCCTACTATCCTACCTCCGTTTCCCACCCAGGGAGAGTTAGAAACCAAGGCAGGGGGTGGGACTGGATGAGCTTTAAGGTTCCTCCTAATCCAAAATATTCCAGGATTCTGTGACTACCTTGTTGTATAAAGAGTGAATGCAATATACCTACAAATCTTCTAGAAAAATATACTGAACTGCACTGTGGTTTGGGAAAAAACTGTAAAAAGACAGACCACGAAATATATTAATTACTGTTGTAATTACATCACATAGAATCCTGAAGCAAAACCAGGGAAATCCATCTTACCTGACTTGTTCTGCAGAATCACCACCCCGTGTTTGCTGGTGTTGCTCATGTTGTACATGACGTGCTCAGGGACCACCTGTGCTGGTTGCAGAACCTCCTCCAGCGACGGGAGGCCCAGGATGGTCTGCAAACTGTGGGGAGCGAGAGCATGGGTGTCTAGAAGGTTTGTAACAATGAAGGAAAAACCAGTTCTTTCCCTATCTATTCAAAACCAGGTGCTTAAAAAGCTCATCTGCTGTTTGCTTAATAAATTCTCACTTTCAGGAGAACAATTTGAGGACGTGCTCTTCTCTGGGACAAACAGCAACAACCAGTAAGGAAGAGCATCTGTGGTACTCAAATATACTTCAGCAACAGCAAATAATCAAGAATTCCTTAAATGCAACAACTCAATGTTAATAAACACACTAGGAAGCCTATGTAGAGAATAGTCAGTAAAAATCTTCAACTTAAAAAGGCTGATGGGCTATTTCACACCCAAAGCACTTGCATGAGAAGGTGCTATTTGTGATTTATTCCTTACTGTATCAGAATGATATTTCTCCAAGTTTCTTGCACATATTGCTGGCTTATTTCCTTCCTCTGTAGTGTGTCTTCCTTGTTCTCTTTTATCACATCAGGCCTTGTTTTTTCTAGGTTTTCCTGAAAATGAGAGGTTTATAATGTAAGATAAACGGGATTCAAGATAATTCAAAATTAAGTAATTAAAAAACTGGAATCAGAAGCATAGGGAATTCTGTGGAAAGATAAATTCCACATGGTATTTCAGCTTTAGCACTGAAATGTAAGCACACACAACTAAAAAGCAAAAGAGGATACTGAAAAAAGACCTGATCAATCCCCAAAGCAGCAATTTAAAAGGTAGAAACATCTCACATCCAAATGTATTTGTAAATGATTTATCCTCCTTTAGGATTGGAATCTAAATTCAGAATTTATGCACATATACAAATTTCAAATGAATAAAGGGACACACATTCAACCTTTTCCAAAAAGCTGACCAGTTAAATAATTTGTGTCTTTTATTTGTCCCTCCCAATACTTCCAGAAGCAAACAAAAATCCTCCCATACCAATTTATTTCTTAATACTTCTCAATTTCTTAACTACCAAATTACTTCTCAAGCTGAAAGGGCAGACGCCACAACAGAACAGTGACACCAAAAGGTGATTGCTTCTAGTTTTATGTTTTTGAAGAATAAAGCCAACACAAGACAACTACAATGATGTAAGAAACAGAAGTTATTACCAGGGACTGCAGTAACTCGTGTTTTTTCAAAGTCCTCTTGGATAAATGGGGCAATTTAAAAAGTTTTTCTTTGTCTGTAGGGAAGTTTTCCAAGTTCTCTCTTGGTGGGCTTGGTAGAGGTTTAACTGGAGATGTTGAAGGAAATCTGTAATGGGTGGGAGAGATGAGTGAAATAGATTCAGAATAGATTAGAAATGTCATAGCTGGGCTTGGGGAACGAAGATTTGGGAAAGGTCTCTACCCATGTTTGTCACAAGTGCGCTGGTGGCTAAAATTAGAAATAAAATAAGTTACTTAAGCAAAACAAAACCCTGTTACTCCATACCAGTGTGACTCTAAGATTCTGAAGAGATTCAGGAAAATAAGAAGGAAAACACTGATTTTTCTTTTTCTTTATCATATGATAGATTAACTTTGGGCTATTTTTCATGATGCCAAAGTCACGCTGAAGATGCTCAGATGTTTACAGAGCACTGAGCCCAGAAATTGAAAAGCGAAGGCCATTACCACCTTTCATTTTAGAGCTTTTTGGCTCCGTTTCCCATTTAGACTTTCTGTAAAAGGTACAGGAGAAATAAGCACATCAGGGAGCTACTACAAACCACTCCTTGGCTCCCCTTCAAAGCACTGGAGTGCAGAATGTATTCCAGTGAAAAGCTTGGATAGACAAGAGCATGGAAACAACCCAGAGCAGATAAGATGTATGGTCTATACTGAGAATCAGAACAAAGTAAAACACTGAAAGGAGCAAAACAATGCTAATAATTAAATTTTTGGCCCAACTGCTCAGCCTGAATTGGAGTATTTTAAAATCAAATTCTCAACCTGAAGAGCCATTAAATAATTTTCATCTCAATACCTGTACAAGGCACCATTGTCTTCCAGGTTTTCAGCTCCCCACCTCCCTTTTATATCCTCAATGACGTGGTTCTTGAGAAATTTCCTCAGTAACTGCACCGTTTGCTGCCTGGTCACCTCGGGGCCGAAGTTGCTGTTATTCCTGAGGACCTCATGGAGCCAATCCACAGCTTCCGAGGCAGTGAAACAGCTCCCGTGCTTCCTGAAGTGTTGCCTGTGTTTCCTCAGGGGCATTCCCGCTCGGAAGTACTTGGTGATCTCGTTCCACTGCACGGGAAACAAAACAGCCCAAACTGGAAAATTAAAGCCTCAAGCTGAGCATTGCGAATATCAGTGGGACGGCGTAGGGGGCCCAGCGCACCCGCATATCGTGACAGTGGGCACCCACATGTCACGACAGCAGGTGGGTGGCCCTAAGGCACCCACATATCGTGACAGGAGTCACAGGATGGGAGGTAGCAAGGTACCCATATATCGTGATAGCAGGCACGGGGAGAGTGTCCCTGGGCACCCACATGTCGTGACAGTGGGCATGCGCATCCGCATGGCACCACACGCGCGTGCAGGGGGTGTCCCAGGGCAGCCACAATGCTCGGCGACAAGGGCAGGGGGGCAAACCAGGGCACCCAGTGCCGACAGGCCTCGGGGGGCAGAGGTCGCTCTGTCAACAGCGTTCCAGGGTGACACTGGCAGCCCGCCCCCCCGGCAGCCGCCCCGCTCCCTGGCGCAGCCCCCGCCGGCCCCGCCTTCCCCGGTGCTTCTCACCAGGGCGGGTGGCGCGTACGGCCGGCCGGCCCGGCCCCGGCCCGCATCGCGGGCCCTCCGCCAGCCCGAGGGCGCGCACAGCGCCCTATCGGGCCCACCACCGGCCACCACGGACTGCCGTTCGATCCGCCGGCGGGCCGCGGATTGGGCGATCCATTGGGGCACGTGACGCTTGCGTCAGGGGCGGGGCCGGCCGAGTTCGGTTCCCGCCCCGAGCGGGTGCTGAGCAGCGTTACAGGCGTTAATTACCTAACAGCGATGAGCAGTAATCAATTAATCCCAGCTAATTACTTAACATTAATTACCGTGCTGTGACACCTGGCCCCACCTCATGTCCGAGCCGCTCCAGAGGTAAAGGTGTGGCTTGGCAGCACCTCAGGAGGATGAGTGGATGTCAATAAAACTTGTTCTGTTTGTGAAACTTTGTCCTCATTGTCAGGGGAGAATGAGATAAAAACCTCCGTGAAATGTTACCTTTTGCATAGAATCCCAGAATGATTCGGGTTGGGAAGGACTTTAAAGCTCATCCTATCCCACCCCTTCCATGGGCAGGGACACCTTCCACTAGCCCAGGTTGCTCCAAGCCTGTCCAACCTGACCTTGGACACTTCCAGGGATGGGGCAGCCACAGCTTCTCTGGACAGCCTGTGCCAGGGCCTCACCACCCTCACAGACGAGAATTTTTTCCTAATATCCAGACTAAATTTCCCCTCTCCCAGTTTGAACACATTACTCCTTGTCCTGCCACTCCAGCTCCTGATGAACAGTCTCTCTCCAGTTCCCTATAGCCCCTTCAGACACTAGAAGGGGCTCCGAGGTCTCCACGCAACCCTCTCCTCTCCAGGCTGACCAGCCCCAGACTCTCTCCATAGGGAAGGTGCTCCACTCCTTTTATCAACTTCATGACTTTCTCTGGACTTGTGCCAACAGTTCCATATCCTTCCCATGTTGGGGACACCAAAACTGTACCCAGTGACCCAGGTCAGGTCTCACAAGAGCAGAGCAGAGGGGGAGAATCATCTCCAACCTAGTGGCACACTCCTTTGGATGCAGCCCAGGATTCAGAGCATCTTCCCAGACAACACTCGGAGAGGCAGGTTGGGCTGACACACCTCTTAGATCCCATGGGATCAGTACAGAGCTTACACGCAACATTAACTGCTCTAAAAAATGTGTCCTTTCAGCTCCCCTCTTCATCCTGGGCATTTCCTACAGATACAGGTACTCTAGAGACCACTCTCCCCAAAAAAACCCCAAACCAACCCCAACAAGTATTACAACAGCATGGCTTTCATCATTTGGCTTTTAAGCTCAGATCCTCTAGACCAAATATATTTGTAACCTGGGAGATATAAATACCCCACGAGTGTTTTATTTCACCTTGATGCAGCCATCCATTGCTCAGATGCTTTAGTCACACCACTTAAACTTCTTTTATAGTCAATAAAGACACACAAATACCTCAGACACTTTTATAAGAAAGAATAAAACCATCACTGCAGTGAGAAAACACACCAGCATAACAAATAGACTGAAGCAATGGATGGCTGTATCAGACTCAAAGCTACAGCCCAAGGAAAATAATAGAAATAAAAATCCAAAACACACAGACATCTAAGTGGTGCCTCCCAGCAAAACCAGGGCTCAAACACCCCTTGGAAAACTGGTTTCCCAACTATATAACCAGTACAGAGAAGGGCTGGCTGTGCTGCTTTTATGTGCTTGCAAAAGGATTTGCAGGTGCCACTCAGAGCTGGTTTCTGGTAACTTCTCTCAGGTGTTTGAGCTGTGGCACCTGCTGGAGACCATTCAAAACTCAGTGAAGATGTATTAATTACTGATTAGAATAAGAAAGATCTGTATTCTCTTATTAAATTCAAAAACTTCAGGGATCTTTTTCATCACTTACATTACAACCACTCACCTCCTGTTTTCCTTTCTCATTAAACTGAGAACAAACCAAGACACAAATGCTGATTTTCCCACTAACCCAGGCTCTGAACCTATGCAAGGGTATAAATCAATTTAGTGATTATCTTAGGGAAATCCCCACATGAGTAAAGCCTGCAGAAAGTGATGACTCCAACTGTTTTAAAATGGATTAAATGGATTACTTCCCATACTCCTTCTCTCAGGTCATTTAAAAATGTAATGCTTGATGTATTTACATCCAACCTCCTGCTTACAAACGATGTAATACATTTTGTAAAACTTCATCTCTTAGAGCAAGTAAAGAGATTTTAGGGACATGTCTGTAAAAGTGTGGTGTATTTTTATCCCCCTACACTCATGAATAGATGCAATCAACTGGAAATATAGTCAGCCTTAAAAATGATTGGAGGGCACCTTCAGGTCACTAAAAATATTCCTAGAGCCAGTTTTTATGGCTTTACAATGAGATTTCCTTATGCTTCAGTCTTTTTCTTTCCTTTATTCTCATTAGAGAATTACAAATACCTACCCGGGTATCAATACACACTGAGAGCATCAGTGGGACTCTTCCCATACAAAGGTCAGCAAAACACAGAAAGGGAAGTAATGGGAAGAGTAAAGCTTTATTTTCTGCTTCTCATTTATAATTATTTGATGGCGTCTACTACCAGCAACAGTGGAAGGGCAAATAAAGAGAGATTAATAGAGTTCATTTGGAATATCAACGTTATGGCCATGCCTCTGGATTGTTTTTCATTGTGTGAGCTGAATATGCTGTAGGTCTTTGTTCTAGTGGGCTTTAGACATAGGAATAAAGCTAATTGGAAACACTTAATATTGATCTCCTGATGTTTAGTGCAGCTGAATTAACATCCTTGGCCTTAAGTTCAAATAGGGACTGATTTAAAAACATAAAGGAATTTAGATTATGGACTGTTCCCTGGGGAAGCTGTGGCTGCCCCATCCCTGGAAGTGTCCAAGACCAGGTTGGATGGGGCTTGGAGCAACCTGGGACAGTGGAAGGTGTCCCTACCCATGCCAGGAGTGGAATCGGATGGGCTTTAAGGTCTCTTCCAACCCAAACCAGTCTGGGATTTTGTGTTTCTTTACAACAACCAAGTGTTGGGTTTGATCTCTAGTAAGGCCAAGCACATACAACTGTAGTAACAGCTATGACAGTTCTGCTGCTGGGACAACCAGGAGCAAATGACAGAAAACTGAAATATTTGGATTTTTGGTGTAAGCACAGTGAGTAGGAAAGCTAAGAGTGGGGCCCAGCAGTGCTGTGAAGTGCTGTGGAGGTTTCAGGCTTTGTTACTGTGCTGCTGCTACTCTTTTATGCACATCTCTTTAAGTTGTGACTGGCATTGCTTCTATATACAGAGTAGGCGAAACAAATTGCCTGATATTTAGTGCAATGAAACAAACAGCATAAAACTGTGTAAGAGCTGAAAGATATGTGAGTCCTTAATACAAAGTTCTCATTGAGATAACCAGGTTATCTCATTGAGATAACTCAGCTGTACATTGATGAAACATTTAAGCAATTCTTTGCCCCTGAGAACATTGTGCATCATTTTTTGAGGATATTAAAAACTGAGAGCTGGATTTTACTTTTTTCAATTTCTTAATACAGACTGTAAAAGAGCAACATTTTGTAGACAAAGAACCTATTCTGGGCTGGATGTGACTGTGGGAAAATGTGCATCGGAGGCAAACTGCAGCAATTGCCACCATTTCATTGCAATGAAGTTTTTTTCTTAGAAAAGCAATTCTGTGGAATTTCACAGCTTCCAGCTCTCAACATTTCAGCTGATTTGCTGCTTTCTGGAGATGGAATGACTGTACTTGTCATTCCACAGGCACTTTTCAGAAGGATTGGTGTGGGAACAAAAACAGGGGCGAATGCCTATGAAGGTGATCATGAAAATTGTGTGGGAATTTAAGAAAAAAGAAGAATCTTGGTTTGGAACCATATATTTTTCTACTCCTGCTGAACTTTACCCCCTGTAGAGTCAGTAGTTTGTACAAAAAGCCACTTAGAGGGGAGGTTTTATGCAATGGTGGAGAAAAACCAAATGAAATAAGTAAGATAAATCCTGTAGGACCTGAGGGAACACCTGGAGCTGTGTTGGGGGAGGGTTAGGTTGGATCTCAGGAAAAAATGCTTCCCCCAGAGGGTGGTTGGGCACTGACCAGGCTCCCCAAGGCAGTGGTCATAGCACCAAGGCTGACAGAGCTCAAGGTGGATTTGGACAGTGCCCTCAGGGACAGGGGGGGATTGTTCTGGTGTCCTGGGCAGGGCCAGGAGCTGGACTCATGATCCTTGTGGGTCCTTCCAACTCAGGATATTCCATGATTCTCTGTTGTCCTTCAGCCTTGAATGATTACCCGAGATCTCCTGCTCTCCTCCTTAGTAACTCAGGATCCCCAAGCACTTTCCTTTCTCCCACAAAAGTTAAGGAATTCTGTACATCTTCCTCCTTTAAACTCAAGCAACCTGAGCACTGCTTTACTTTTCTTCCCTTTGGAGTGATGATGCATCAGCACCTAGTCCTGCTGCACCTGGCACAGTGAGGAACACCCTGCTCCTTTCCTCACTCACTTTTTATGTAAATGAATGTATTTACCCAGCTCCCACCTCCTCCTGCCTTAATGAGTTAACAAGAGCAGCCTGAGCTGGTCAGGATCTGCCCGTCAGCCCCACCCTCTGCTGATTAGTTTGGACCCACCTGCTGAGGGGTGAGGTCGCTTCCCCCCAGGGTGTTGGTTGATATAAGTAACCTCCAGGCTATAATGTATGTTTTCTGTCAGGGACCT